CATTTGATGAGTTTGTACCACATGCATATGCATCGAGTTGCATAGTCGAGTTGCATTACATAAATTAACTGTAAACATAATGTTGATTGTGTGTGAATGAATGAGAGTTGGCGTGCGAATGTGTTCGTGAGATGTTGTGATGAAATTGTTGTAGAATATGTATATGTGTTGATACCTGTTACCTCAAATTTTTGACACGAGTCCCAAGATTGAAAATTATAAATGATCTTGAGAAATATATTATCATCTTCAAGGTGAAGTGGTCCAAGTTCGACCCTGAGTTTTAAGGCTAATTAGAAGTTTTACCGTCGAAGAACAATACTAATTTTGGTCGAATATTCATCAGTGAAGACCAAAGATTTGGTTTGGACTTAGTAAAATTTCAAGTGTCCAATAAAATGTTTAATTGCCCAGTCAAATATATTCAAAAGTGGATAAGATCAGACATTTATTCGACAACACATGTAAAGATGGTGAAGACAAAGATTGCATGGCGTTGGAAATGTGGCATATTTTGTTGCTTCGACCGTTATTGACCGTTGCATTAGGACTAGTATTTATTTATAGTTTTAGGGTCTGCAATTTTACACACAAATTCTACAAACTCAAAGTACTGAGTGTTAAGAGAAACGAGTGCAGAAAATATATGTTTTACATTCCATTATATGAATCCAGTCCTTTATCTTTTTTCAAAGTTATTTATTGCATTTTCGAGTTACTTTACTGCATTTAAAGTTCTTATACAATCAGTTCATTATTTTTACTTCAATGTCAAGAACTTTCAAACTTATGAAACTTTGAACAATATGTCCGAAATCTTTTTGAGTTTAATCCTTTAAGTGAATTAAAACTTGTTTTGTTTATCAAATTTACCAATAAACAAATTGGTACGCCCAATAGGAACTTTTATGCAAAAGTTTATATTTTTAGAAAGAGTTGTATGTTCTTCATCCATAAAACTTCTCAAAAATGTGAGTGTGCATGGGATTGAGGAGAGATGAAATAACCAGGCAGTACGTTAGAAAACCTAGGTACATTAGGAGAATTGTTAATCCAATAAACAATAGTAACAATGGAGAACAACCTTCTAATACTACGAGAGAAGGCACAATCGTTGTATTTTGACAGAAGAGATACTCTCCACAACCAATACGACAAAAATATAGTCGACTGCATAAAGTGGGGAAATTTTCTCCCCATTAATAACACAAGAGTCCCCCCTGTGACTCCTAGACTTCCGTGGCTAGTGATTTTAGGCCTTACATGACAAGTTTCACAATGCCCATGAATGGTCGAGAATAACCTAATGACATGCCAACTTCGATGATAGAAGGCTTGCATAGGAATGTATCAACATTTGTTGATAATTCGGAGACTACATATTCTCCATTACAAGGATCAGGATCGGCCATAAACAACTCTGGTCGAAACACCCATCCTTTAGGAACTGGGATTTTCTTCCCAAACGATGCCTACTTTCACCACGAGTTTTGTGAATATATTGAGGATCAAATGGATGAAAGTAACCATGAGATGATTAACTTGCTTTCCCATTAAATGGGTACCATATTTAACCATTTGATTCAGAGTATGACTCAAAGTAATCAAAAATTAGCGAATCATATGACACAAATTGCTTATTTCTTTGGCACCCCTCACACTACTACAAAAAACACATCTAACGTCGGACGTGAAATGCGTTTGATGTCGGTAATGGAAACGAGATAAATAAAGACGTCATAAAAGGTTACATCTTATCACCTTGGATATTAAAACGCCGAGGGGACACATTAACTGCACGTGGGTTCGATTCCCATCATCAACATTTTTTATCATTTTCAGAATTGAATGGCGCGCCCCATATTAGCACTCGATGTTTTGTAGAACTGAGATAACATATCGATATTCTTACCTCGATTTATTATAGAAACCGAGGGGTTAATATATTTTTTTCTACTATCGTGTGCACCTGAATTACAGAACCATATTTTAGAATACAACACCATATTTTGCAAATTCCTGAAACTGAGACATTGTACATTTTGCCAATTCCTCAATATGAAACAGAAATATTCATTAATTACACCAAAATGCAAACACAAAATGACACACACTTCATAATTTTACATCAAAACTAAAACAAATGATTAAGAAACAAAAGCAATAAACAGTTTAATTACTAGTTTTCCAATATGCCATCTTCATGATCACAACGAATATCATGCACATCATCTAAATCATTTTCTTCAGATGATTGACGCATACGTGTTGCTAAATAAGGAGTCTCATAGTGAAAATCTTGATTTTCATCAGTACTATCGGGAAGATGTTTTCATTGAAGAACAATTGACAATCTAGTGTTGGTTGGACCAATGACATAACACACTTCTTTTGCTTGGTTTTCCATGATGAAAGGTTCGTTCTTGTAAGCTGTCTTTCGAAGATCAACCCTTGTGAATCCTAATTCGTCGGTTTCTACTCCAATTTTAATGTCAATCCACCTGCACTTAAATAAAGGCACTTTAAAAGAAACATAGTCAATCTCCAAAATCTCCTCAATGATCCCAAAGTACGCTCTAGATGCTAGTACTAGATTGTTATCTTTGGAACTAGAAAAGTACATGGATTCAGCCTCAACCATAACACCACTATTTTGCATTACGCCACGATCATCCTTTGATTTTGTGTAGAACAGATATTTACTAATTTCATATGCACCCCAAGTAATTACATTAAACTTAGGAAAACATGACAACCATTTTCTATTATCCGATGTACCACTCTCTTTAGAAATACTTTCATTAAACCAATCTATGAAAGTTTTGTTATGCTCCGTCAACAATCATTTTTCATTCATTCCGGGGTATTTTTCCTTTATAAGAGCTTTGTGCATGGACAAGTACGGATCAACTTCACTAAGGTTATTCAATATATACAAATGTGCTTAAAGAACTACTTGTCGACTAAGTGTTTTAACATTTAAATCTTGAATACCTCTACCATCATAAAATTCGTCATGACGAGACTCGGGGACTCCTATACCGTTTGCATCTGAAAAATAGTTTATACAAAATTCAATAGCTTCTTCTATGATGTACCTTTCTATGATCGAAGCTTTTAGACAATGTGATTCTTTGTATACCCTTTTAAAATTTTCATGTAACGCTATACTGGATACATCCATGCAAATAAGTTGGACCACAAATTTTAATCTCCCTTACTAGATGAGCAACTAAGTTAACCATAATGTCAAAGAATGACTGAGGGAAAAACATCTCTAATTGGCACAAGATAATTGCAGCTCCGTGTTCCAACTCATCTAAATTTCCAGGATCTATAACTTTACTACATATAACATTGAAGAATAAGCACAATCTGGTTATAGTCACCCTCATATTTCTTGGTAAGATGTCACAGATAGCCACTGGTAGAAGTTGTTGCATCAAGACATAACAATCTTGATATTTTAAGCCAATTAATTTGTGATCGTTCTTTTACACAAGTTTCTTCACATTTGATGAGTACCATTGTGGAACTTTGATACCCTGCAAACAATCACAAAAACCTTTTTTTTCTCTTTTAAACAGAGTGTGACATGCTGGGGAATAATAGGTTCTATTTCTTACTTATTTTGAGGCTATTCTTTCCGTATACCTATCACAACCATATCTTCGCGGGATTTCTTAGTATCTTTTATCTTTTGTCTTTTATCTTTTGTAATTTGTGGTGACATGTATCAACTTCACATATAGGACACACTTTATGACCCTTGACGTTGTACCGAAACAAATTACCGTATGCAGGAAAGTCATTGATTATGCAAAATAATATTGCACACAACTTAAAGTTATCACATGTATACACATTATCAACATCAATACCTTCCTTCCACAAAAGTCTTAAATCTTCAATAACTGCCCCGAGAAAGTAGGGAAGTTGGACCCGTTATTTTCGGAGGACATGATGATGACGTTGTGGACACGTGGGTCATGCTCTTCTAGTGGACACGTGAGGAAATGCCCAACGGTCTTCAATTTGGGCTGCATGCTTTTGGGCCTTTGTAAAGACGCTGGATTGGACCTCCCCATTGGTGGGACAAGTGTCGACCAAGTCCAGAACAATTCATAACATAGATTCAACATAATTCATCGAAATTACATATATAATTCTAAAGAATTTTAAAATTAAATGTTGTTATAAACAGGTAATTGAGGACGTTGCAACATTTTGATAACATCTTTTCCCGATCTTTGAAGCTTCACGTCCACCTCAATCGGACTCTTAGAAGAGTATCGTTGAAAAGTATCCCACATAACCTCTAAATCGTCATCGTTCTTGAGCTCAAACAGGATGAATTTTACGTTTTGAATATGCATATCCGAAACTACCTCTAAAATTTTAAATCGAACATTTAAGTATTAAAACGTGAAAAATAGTGACTTCGGATGTGCATATCTAAAACATACTGAAATATGAATTCAGATTCAGATATGCATAACTAAATAGTATTTTTGAGTTTTCAGACGTTTAACTCAACACATACTGATGGAGAAAGAAATTCTCTTAAATCATGTCATGTGATGCAACAAACTTCCGTGAAAGGAAATCCAATCCCCATGCAATGTTAAGCCCATAATTTATGGATAAAACTCTAATGAAGAAGAAGATTCTTACTTAATTCATTGTTTTTTGCTGCCCATAATTTAACGTTGTTCCACATTCTGTTTTGTAAACTTTAGTTAAATAGTTTAATAATTTTTCACCAAGTTGCAAAGCCGTTTCGTTAAATAATAATATAGAAGTAAATAAAATAACAATGCAATATGCCGTGGCAGGAATCTTGAATATGAAAGCAACCATGCAGATTCAGACTAATTTTAAGTTCTTTCTGTCTCTATATAAACCACCAATATCATTTCATTCAATTCATACCAATTTACAATTCTTCTTCCAACACACTAACAAACACACCTCAACAAGGTTTTCTTTGGTAACAAAAAATGGTTTCTAACAACCAAAAACAATACATATTTGTTCTGGTCTTTATCCTTGCACTTAGTAGTATTACTAGTGTATTGTCCCGAAAGCTGCAACAATCATCATCCTTAGTAGAAAGACACGAGCAATGGATAACAGAATATGGCAAAGTATATAAAGATGGTGCTGAGAAAGACAAGCGTTTCATGATATTCAAGGACAATGTTGAGTTCATTGAATCATTCAATGCTGCCAACAACAAACCTTACAAACTGGGTGTTAATCACCTAGCTGATTTGACTCTTGAAGAATTTAAAGCTTCTCGTAATGGTTACAAAAAGAGGTCTATGTTAGTGCAAGGTGATGAAATTGAGGAAGAAGAGAGAAAAAGAATAAATGCTTAAAGCTGCCACAAATGATTGAAGGAATTGATTGTTATAAATGTAAACCTAGTACACCTATTTATACACAAATAAGAATGCCACATAGGCCCTAATGAAAATATTTACAAATGACAAATACTAAATTACCCTCTAATACCATCCCGTAATTTAGTAACTTATCAGAAATTAACAACATCAATTTCATCTCTCAGGCGAAGAAATTGGTCTGTTTTTATCGCCTTTGTCAGAATATCTGCTAGCTGCTTCTGAGTGCTAGAGTGCAGAACTTCTAACACTCCTTTCTGCACTTGACTTCTGAGAAAGTGATACTCCGTCTCAATGTGCTTGCTTCTTCCATGTAGCACTGGATTCTTTGCAAGATTAATTGCAGACTTGTTATCAATCATCAGCTTCAAAGGTTCCTCAACTTCAACCTTCAGATTATGCAGCAGATTCAGAAGCCAAACTGCTTGACAAGCAGCTACAACACCGGCAATGTATTCAGCTTCACATGATGACAAAGCCACAACAGAATGTTTCTTGGAACTCCAAGAAATTGGACCTCCCAGAAACTTGAACAAGTACCCAAAAGTACTTCTTCTGTCAACCCTATCTCCACACCAATCAGAATCAGAATAACTCAGAAGTTCTGATTTGATCTTTCCTCCAGAAGGAAATAACACTCCATATTTTAGAGTTCCTTTTACATACCTCAGAATCCTGACAACAGATTGATAATGAGACCACTTTGGTTTGCTCATGTATCTGCTGACCATTCCAACTGCATAGCAAATATCAGGTCTGGTATTACACAAATACCTCAGAGAACCAACCATCTGTTTGAAGGTTGTAGCATCCACATCCTCTCCATCAGAATCAGAATCCAACTTCTGATTCGTATCAGCAGGTGTGATAGCAACCTTGCAATTTGCTAGCTCAAATCTCTTCAGAAGCTCCAGTTCATACTTCTTCTGATGTAAGATGATTCCTTTCTCAGAGTATATAAATTCCATTCCTAGAAAGAAACTCATTTTTCCAAGATCTGTCATCTCAAACGCATTCATCAGAACTTTCTTAAACTCAACTGTTTCTTGTTCAGAACTTCCTGTGAGTAATATGTCATCAACATACAAACAGACCAGAATCATATTACCTTCTGAAGTGTGCTGAACATAAACACTGTGATACGGTGGGAGAACTGACTTGAGTTTTTGCGTTTGTATTCGCACTTGTTCGGTTTAGCAAGAGTCGCCACCGACTTTTTATTTTATCCTACGGAAAGGTTAAAAAGCACAGGAAAAACCTTTTGAGATGTTTTCGTGGGTTCGGGGGGTAGATTATGAAAAGGGAAGGTGTTAGCACCCTTTTCATCCATGGTTATCCATGGGCTCTTAGTTACTTGTTTTAGATCACTTGCCTTGCATTTTCAATTGTTTGAAATGGTGCTTTGTGTGTGTGGTTTTGAAAATGTTTTGAAAAAGATGCCTTGTCTAGGCAACCATTGTAATGACTCTTGTTTGAGTATATGCAATGGTGTTTGTCTTTTTTGAAAAGATGTTTCAATTTGTTTTTGAAAGTTGTTTTTGAAAGTTTGTGTTGTGGAGTGTGTTTTGAAAGTAGGCAAGTGTGTTTTGCAAGTTTGATCAAGTAACTAAGAGTTGTCTATCCCTAAATTTACTCAAAGATTTTTCTCATGTTTTAACCCTTTTAACAGTGTTGTTTCACCATTGTATTTGGTGAACAACCTTGTGTTAGGATGTTAACGGGACGGGCGCGGGTCATCGTTTAGACCATGGATGCAATAGTGTCAAGTATTTTGGCAATTTGCTTTAAGGGACTATGATCATTTTGTTTAGGCAACTTCGAAAGCGTCATCGAGGGACTATGATCATTTGATTTGTTTTTGTTTTACCAAAGTAACTTGACATGCAACATGGCCCATTTTGGAAGGCAACGAGCGGGATTACCCTAGGGGTGTAAGTGTGAATTGTGTATTGATTGTCATGCATTTGTCTTGTATTAGGTTATCTAGCGGTTGATTTTATTTACATACAAACCCTAGGTCTATCATGGCATAATTTGAAAGCTTTTAAATGCGGAAATTTAAAGCCCTAAATTATTACAACAGGATTATGGGGATGAGGATACAAATATTTACAAATGGGGGATGAGACTTGTCGGAATAGTAGTGTCCAAATATATTTACAACCAAATCGAATCGCATTCTCAATGTAAAATATATCAAAGTATAAGGATCAAGGATAAACAAAAATATTGCAAAATGTATGATTATTTACAAATGATGCAAAAAATTAACCTAATGTATTTATTAAGTATTTTATTTATCTTTGGGTTTTTGTTGATTATGTATAAACAAATGTTTTAGTTAAAAAAAAAAAGGAATATCCAACCTTAAAAGAAAGTCTATTTTTTATGTGTTTTATTGACATTAATGTTTTTTAGGAAGTTTTATAAAAGTGATTTATTAAACAAAGAAAAGTTTTAAAGGGAAAAGTATTTAAACTTAACAAAAATCTATTTTCATGTATTTTTATTAATGTTTTATATACAAGAAGATTATTTAACTCAAAACTCTATTCTTATGTATTTTTTAATGGTACTAACTAAAATAAAAAAAATATTTGAGAAAATTTTATAAAAAAAGTTAATGTATTTTTTTTCTTAACAAAATAAATCATGTTATTTAAAAGGAAAATAAACAAAACAAGTATTAGTTTATAAAAAGAAAAAAAGGGGGTTAAATGGGCTCTAGGGAAATGTAAGGCCCAAAGTGTAAAACAAAAATGGGTTAAAACAAAAACAAGGGGGGGTGTACGCCTGTAGTTTATGGGCTTAGGCAGGTAATGGGGCAGAGGCCCAATACGTTTGACACATTTTTCTTAGGGTTTTCATTTTGTTGTTTCAGAACAAGGGTTCATAGGCTAAGAGCGGCGCCGTTCCCTTCATCGTCTTCTTCATCTTTCTCATTCTCCAGCAAAAACCATTGACACTCCTCCTTGCCCCAGCTGCCAGATGCGCCGCCTCCACCTCTTCTTCTTCATGGTTGAGCAAGACAGTGATAAAGGAAAGGTAGCCTTTTCTATTTTAACGCGTTTTCAAGGTTTTCAGTTTTGCATGCTTCGACTCTTCCTTGTTTTGATTTTTATGTCATTATTTGTTTCTGTTTCTGTGAGGTGTTGAAGAAAAGGGAGGAGAAATTATACCTTTGTTGGCTTTTTTGGAGAAGAGGCGGAGCAGTGGACAGGAGGCGCTTCTCAGGCGGCCGGAGGTGGAGGAGTACGTGATGTTGTGAGCTTGTTCTTCCTGGTATCCTCGTATCTTGCTTTTGGTTTTATGATGAACACTTCTCTGAAAACCTTAGATTGTCCATTTCTGAGACTTCTTTTCCTCTTCTGCTTGCTTGCCCTTTGAATATTTGTTCTTTTATTCTGAGTTGCCTTTGATATCTTTGGCTTTGGCTTGCTCAATGACGAACCATGGTTCTGAGAGGTTGTTTGGATATGTGTGATTCTGAGTTGGTCCTATGATGAAGTTGTTCTGAGGGTTTGGGATTTTTGTTATCTAGTTTGGATTGAAGGGTTATTGGTACAGGTTTAAAAGGCAAGCTTGAATGCTGTAGTTTTTGATAGGCTTTGTTATTGGCTTCTGTTTAGAGTCTTGCTTCAGTTTGTTTACAAGTTTGTGTTTTGAGGCTTATTGTGGTTACAGGCAGGAGGCAAGCTTTGGTTGCAGTTTGTAACTTATGCAGGTCGTATGGCTTTGAGGTTTGCTGTACTGGTTTTGACAGGCTTCAGGCTTGAAGTTTTTGACTGGCCTTTTTTCTTCTGGTGTCATGCAGGCAACTCGTTTTTGTTATGTAAATAGGCAGGCTGTTTGTTGTTTTTCTTAGGGTCCAAGCTTGGAACAAGCTTCAATATTTTTGCAAGGCTTGAGGTTTACAGTTTTTGTGATATCTTCTTCTGTATGTATTCTGCCCCCCCCCCCCCTTTGACAGTATTCTGATTTTTCTATATTTATCCTTAGGCCTGCCTGGAAAACTGTAAGCCTGCTACTTTTCTCTCTTTTTCTCTCTCCACAGAAAGCACATCTTTGCTTAGAATGTCTCTTTTTTTCCTGAAAATATTTTGGCCTGGAAAATGATGGATAAAAATGTATTCTTCACAAGCTTGCTTGCATTTGTCTTTCCTCTGCATACTTCCAAGTTTTCTGCCTTGCTTTTGTGCTTGTTGACCGCTTTTGACAGTTTTGCTTAGTTGACATTGTTTTGTTGACAGTTTTGTATTTGTGACTTAGTTTGCCTCTTTGATAATGTAGTTCAGTTTAGTTTATCACTTTGGGCATTTGGTTTGACATTTTGAACTGTGCAGTTTGTTTTGGAACTATGCAGCCTTGTATATTTTCATGTAGCTTTGTGCATTTCTTTTAATATGCTGCCTAATTGATTTGCAGATAATTTTCTTTCCCTCTTTGTGAACCAAGAGTTCTCTTGTGATTTGCAGAGAGGGTGAACAAACTGATTTCGGCCAATCACTTTTAATGATGAGTTTCTAATTAACTGTCTGCCTTTGATTTCATCTGTGTTGACTTGTTTTCTTTTTTGTCTTTGCAGATAAAAGTCAGTTGAGCAATGGGGAGCATCAGTAGAAGATGAAGACTTAGGAAAATTAGGATGTAATTTTATTTTACTTTTAATCATTGTAATAAATATTATTATAAATACTTGTAAATAATTACTGTATTTAAATAACACTTGTATAAATAATTAAAAATAAATAAAAGTCTTTTTTTTGTCAGATATCTCTTTTATTTCAACTGTCTATTTAATTATTTAAGCTTTCTTGAATTAAAATAACTGGAAGTAGATCCAATTATTCTAACTTAGATAAAATAAATAATTAACAAACACTGTAGTCTTGCAATCAATAATAAACCCGGCGTCCCAATTAAACATAAGCAATGCACAGTTAATCAAACAAACGTCCATATGCTTATCCCTTTATTGATTAAACCAAACACTGCAAATTTTCAACCAGAAGCCTCAGCTTCTAAACCAGAGGTTCAGGTTTATTGAGAAACAAACTGAAATCTTGAGCAGGCGTCAAAGCAGTGTAACAACCAATTAATACACTGTGGATTCAAATTCTTCTGAAAATGCGCGTGCAAACCCTAATTCTTGATTTATTGTCAAAGAAGCGTCTGCCTGATCAAACCCTGAGCCAAACTCAACCAAACCCTAACAATCTGCTTGAATTGATCTAAATCAATGGAAACCCTAATTTTGTCTGACTGACGAGAAAAGTCTGTTTCACCGATTCTTGAGTTAATGGAAACCCTAATTTTGTCTGGCTAATGAGAAAAGTCTGTTTGACTGATTCTTAAGCCAATCTGAAAAATCAGGAAAAGCCCGAAGCTGTGATTTCTTGTGGAAAAGAGAGGGGGAAAATTTTGGGGTACAACAAACACCATACTCCATCTCACACTTATGAAACCCTTGTTCCTTGAAAAATGAATCAATCTTCAAATTCCAAGCTCTGGGCGCTTGCTTCATTCCATACAGAGCTTTATTTAACCTGTATACCATCCCTTCCTGATTCTTTTTCACAAATCCAGGAGGTTGTGACACATAAACTTCTTCTTGTAATGGACCATTCAGAAATGCAGACTTCACATCCAGATGTATCAAAGGAAAATTTCTGTTTGCAGCTAAAGCAATCACCAGTCTGATTGTTTCGTGTCTAGCTACAGGCGCAAACACCTTAAAGTAATCTAGTCCAGGTTTCTGAAGAAAACCTCTGGCCACTAGTCTCGCTTTGTGTTTGCCAATTGATCCATCTGGCTTTAGCTTCTGCTTGAAAATCCATCTGACGCTGATGGCTTTCTTGCCTTTTGGAAGTTCTGTCAGCTTCCAAGTCTTGTTTCTTTCAATAGCCTCAAGTTCTTCTTTCATGGCATTCAGCCATACTTTCTTCTTGAGCGCTTCTTCAATACCCACTGGTTCAGAATCTACTAGAATGGCACACTGAACGATTTCTCCTTCAGAATCTACTTCAGTATCATGCAACATGCTAAAATCTGCAAACCTACTTGGTATTCGTCTGATTCTCTATGGCCTCTGATCTTGTTCTGAAGCCTCTTCAGAACTCGGAACTGTGCTAGCTTCTGGACTTTGTCCAGAATTATTTCCTTCAGAATTACCACCTTCAGAGTTACTTCTGGAAACTTGTTCTCCAGACCCCATGTCTTCAGAGTTTTCCCTTCCAGAAGTATAATCACCACCAGATTCTGGATCATCATCAGAATCTGGATCAGAATCAGATCCACTATCAGAATCTCCCAGAGATTCTGACTCATCTTCAGAGTCTTCATCTTCTGACTCTGACTCGTCTTCATAACTTCCAGAAACTAACCCTGGTGTTGGCACTACACTAGAATCTGATTGAAGCTTGTTCCAATCCCATGTTTCTGACTCTTTCACAATGACGTCTCTGCTGATTTCAACTTTGTTGGTTTCTGGACAATAAAGCTTATAGGCACCTGTACTGTGGTACCCCACCAGTAACATTATTTTGCTTCTATCATCCAGTTTTCGTCTTCTAGCATCTGGAACGTGTTTGTAGCATACAGAGCCAAACACCTTCAGATGGCTAACACTTTGCTTGTCTCCAGTCCATTTTTCTAAAGGAACAGTTTCCTTCAGCTTCTTTGTTGGACACCTATTCAGAACATATGCTGATGTGGCAACATCTTCTCCCTATAACATGTGAGGTAACTTCTTCTCTTTCAGCATACTTCTGGTCATATCAAGCAAAGTTCTGTTTCTTCTTTCAGCAAGACCATTGTGCTGAGGAGTATATGGAGCAGTAAGCTCATGTTCTATTCCATTCTCCTCACAGAATTTCTGGAACTCTATAGAGTTATACTCACCTTCACCATCTGTTCTCAGAATCTTCATCTTCTGACCACTCTGCTTCTCAGCCTTCACCTTGAACTTCTGGAACTCAGTAAACACTTCATGTTTGAACTTGATGAGTGTTACCCATGTCATTCTTGTGAACTCATCCACAAAAGACACAAAATATTTGTTTCCTCCAAGTGAAGGTACTGGAAATGGTCCACACACATCAGAGTGTACTACTCCTAGAGCATGCTTTGCTCTGGGGGCTACTTCTGATGCAAATGGCAATCTGGGTTGCTTGCCTTTCATGCATATCTCACATGACTTCTGAGGCTTCACAATCTTCGAAATGCCATGTACGAGATTCTTAGAACTTAGATGCCCTAAGCTTCTATAGTTCAAGTTCCCCAACCTCTTGTGCCATAGCTTACTGTCAGCTTCAGCACCTTCTGCACTAAGACACTCCGCTTCAGAAGTTTCTACATTTACCTTGAATGTTCTGTTGCTTCCCTGCTCAGACTTCATAATCAAATTCTGATTAGAATCATACAGCGTCAAGAGATTGTCCTTCATAACCACTGAGAAACCTTTCTCAATAAGCTGACCCATACTCATCAGATTGCTTTTAATTCCAGGAACATACCAAACGTCTTTGATCAGAATGTTTCTTCCATTCTTCACTCTGACTCTAACATTTCCCATACCTTCTGCATTAAGGTACTTATCATCAGCACATCTGATCTTTGTTCTCCTTCTGGAGTCAAAGTCTATCAGCCATTGTTTGTTCCCAATCAAGTGGTTTGAACAACCAGTGTCCATATACCACCAATCTCCTGAACAATTTCCATCAGAATCAGAAGCCATCAGTAGCACATGTTCATCATCAGATTCTTCTCTGGCTATATTTGCTTTTTCTGATTTCCTTCCTCTGTTTCTACAGTCTCTGGCAAAATGGCCAAACTGTTTACAGCAGTAACATTGAACCTTCTTCTTGTCATACCTTTCCTTTCCCTTCTGATATTTCTTTTCATTAGAAGTTGAGGTTTCTGACTTCTAGAATTTATCACCATGTCTATTCTGCTTCTGGTCCTTCTTGACAAAAGAAGCTTTCAGAGCTTGCTCAACTTCCCTTTCAGAAGTTCTTTCAGTCAGACGCAACTCTTGCGCTTCTAGACTGCTTTGCAACTCTTCTATTCTCATGGTTTCCAGATGTTTAGAATGTTCAATAGAAACAACAATGTAATCAAGCTGAGGAGTAAGTGACCTCAGAATCTTTTCTATGATTACCTGTTCAGAAAGTGTTTCTCCACAAGCCTTCATCTCATTAGTGATCAGAATCATTTTGGAGATGTACTCAGAAACTTTCTCACTGTTCTTCATGCTGAGATTTTCATATTGTTTTCGCAGGGACTGAAGTTTTACCTTCTTTACTGATACGTCACCACCATAACATCTGGTCAGTATATCCCATGCCCCTTTCGACATCGTCGAATCAACAATCTTCTCAAACACATTTTCATCCACACACTGATGGATAAAGAACAGAGCTTTCTGATCCCTCTTCCTCGTAGCTCTTTCTTCTGATTTTTGTTCTTCAGTAGCACCTGCTGCAGCTGGAACATAACCTTCAGAAACAAGATCCAGAACATCCTGAGCACCAAACAGCACACGCATTTGTATCTTCCATCTGTTCCAGTTTTTGCCATCGAAAACTGGAAGTTTAGTGTTCAAACTACTGCCTCCATTCATCTTAAACCTTGCACAAAAACTCAGATCTCAGATTTTCTCACTTAGTGTTTCCTAAACCCACAGAATCACTGTGATTCTGTTTTAGATTTTTGTTCAAGATTCAAAAATCAAACACACAGCTCACTATCACTCGTGTTTACCAGAATTTTAGAATAAACCAAGAAGCTCTAGATACCAATTTGTTAGTGCAAGGTGATGAAATTGAGGAAGAAGAGAGAACAAGAATAAATGCTTAAAGCTGCCACAAATGATTGAAGGAATTGATTGTTATAAATGTAAACCTAGTACACCTATTTATACACAAATAAGAATGCCACATAGGCCCTAATGAAAATATTTACAAATGACAAATACTAAATTACCCTCTAATAGTCTACTAGTACTGAGCTTACTTCAACATCATTCAAGTATGAAGATGTGACTTCTATTCCAGCATCTGTAGATTGGAGGGTAAAAGGAGCTGTTACTCCAATCAAGGACCAAGGTCAATGTGGTAAGTATAAGATACACAATGAACAACATTTTACCAATATACTTTATTATGATTTTATTTGAATCAATTAATTAATGTTTGTTTTGAAAATGAATCAAGGGAGCTGCTGGGCATTTTCAACTGTTGCTGCAACGGAAGGTATCAACCAAATAACAACAGGCAAACTAGTATCCCTCTCAGAGCAAGAGTTAGTTGATTGTGACACAAAGGGTGAAGACCAAGGATGTGAAGGAGGATTAATGGAAGATGGTTTTGAGTTTATCATCAAAAATGGTGGAATCACAAGTGAGACTAATTATCCTTATAAAGCAACTGATGGAAGGTGTAACACTGCAACAACCGTTCCTGTGGCTAAGATAAAGGGATATGAGAAAGTTCCAGTGAATAGTGAGGATGCACTTCTTAAAGCCGTGGCCAACCAACCAATATCAGTTTCTATTGATGCTAGTGATTCAAGTTTCATGTTTTATTCGCATGGAATTTATACGGGAGAATGTGGAACTGAGTTAGATCATGGTGTTACTGCGGTTGGTTATGGAAGTGCAAATGGAACTGATTATTGGTTGGTTAAGAATTCATGGGGAACAGTGTGGGGTGAGAAAGGATACATAAGGATGCAAAGAGGTATAGCTGCTAAGGAAGGCTTGTGTGGCATTGCCATGGATTCTTCTTATCCAACTGCTTAATTCATTTCTCCAATTATGTATAGATTCAATCTCCTGCTTACATTTTTCTTGTTTTTTTTAATGAAATTATGGATACATACGTGTACATGTAAACTTATGTTTTAGCATAATTAAGCATACATACACTTATACAAAATTTATATGGCTGTCTTATTTAAACATTTCAGTAATGTATGGTATTATCGTAGAGTAAAAAATACCCGAATAAATGAACATTCAAATTATAATGAAGATGTCATCGAAGTTTATTTTTTAAAGGAAAACATCAATAAAACTCTAAAAGAATAAAAATATGATCATCGCAACAAAATTCAAGTTCGGAAGTCTATTATGCATAGAGAAGGTATTATAGTACCCCACACATTTTTTGTACTCAATGGGAACCGCTTAATTATTTTTGCGAATAAGAGTGTTAGCTTAAGTTATTTGGATTTCATCTAATTACTGCGAGGTATTTACCTAAATGGAAAAACGGGGGAAAATAGGGTTTATTTATTATGGTGTTTGACGAAACATTGGATCTCGCTCATACATATTGATTAGTGGTTTTTAGACATTTATTTACCATTAATTTTAGTTATCTTTTCTTTTTATTAGTGTTTTATTTCATTTTACCACTTTTTATGTGTTGGTTGTGTGTTTTATTGTTTTCAGGTTCACATGAATAAATACGGACAATCAGTGCGAAAAAATGTAAAATTCAGAGTTTCAGAAAGTTTCCGGCACGCTTCAGGAAGCCTAACACGGCCACCCGTGTCACCTGACACGGGCCGTGTCAGACTATGCGCTAATTGATCATTTTTCACAAAAAATTTCATGGAGCTACGGGAATCGGATCAATGCATTCTAATAATCGTTAGAAAGCTGAGAGAAAGAGCTACAACTTTCATTTTAAAGTTAGAAGTTGATTCAGAATGTAGAAGCCTCAAAAAATTCATTAAAGTTTCAGACTTTAGAAATTTAGCTGTTTCAGGTCGTTTTACGGGCCTGATTTATGTTTCCGATCCAATTTGAGTTAGTAGTAAAAACATTTATTTGGTTTATAAGACTTTTGAGAACTTTTTAGACAAAAAGAAGAGTTTACACGATGGAAGATTGGAGAAGTCAAGGTTTTTGGAGAGCGGAAAATTTTCATGTGCGGAAGCAATTGAAGATCAAAGTCCATCCCAATCCTTTTAATGTCTATATTTTGTCTTGTGATTATTTTGAACAATATGAGTTGCTAAACCCCCCAATACTAGGGGGTGTCCCTGATTTGACTTTGTATACGATTTTTATTCTTGAATTTCTTTTATACAATAATCTTCTCTATTTGATTTAATTGTACAATATTTGTATGCCTTCCTGATCAGATAAATTAGGATTGATTTACGGTTAACAACCAACTGGACCGCAATTGTTAAGGTTTTTGTATAATTAGGCCATAGTAGATATCACCTAGGATTAGGGATACCCTATAGTTACCAGATATCTCTAAGGTATTAGGGTGTAGGATGGATGGTGTTGTACCCCAAAATTCCCCCTCTCATTTATCAAGGTTATTCTCACAAGATCTCTTAAACTCAAGACTAGATTAGGGTTTGACCAGCTCAAGACCTCTCATCATGCACTGATCACCCAAAATTAGGGTTTGAGATTACACAAGGATTTTTGGACTATCAATACTTCATATGACTTTCAAACATCATTATGAACCCCTAAGTTTACTCATGACAAGTTTCAGGCCTTGAACCATATTTTTGATCAGTCAATTGGACAGTTGACCTAAAAGTCAGCTATATTGGGGAAAAAGTCAACTATGGCCAGTTTACAGTCAAACTTCATATTTTTGATCCACATCAACATTTTATACTCATATGTATCATTTGATCAAGTTGGGATCACAATTTCTCAAGAAATTTGATCAAATCATCAAAGGGGCAAAATGGTCAAAATTAGGGTTTTGACTGAGAAAGGGCAATTTCTGATTTTTGATCTAGCAAATGACCAATTGAGTTGAAGCATGATTCCAAGGATTCAATTGCATCATCTTGACCTAATTATATGGTTCAAAACATTGCAAATCCATTGGATAGACAGATGAAATTTGCAGTCAACTGATCAAAAGTCAATTGTATACTGAAAAGTCAAACTTTGACTCTTTGGTCAAATTCAAGTGCAAAAGATCATAATTCATCAAAACATGTCAAAATATGAAACTTATTCATCAAGAAATCAAAAAGTCAAGATTTCATTTTGAAAAGTCAAAATTTCTAAACTTAGAAATTTTTATAAGTGTTGGAAATTTTCATGTTTTTTCATAACTTTGAGCAAAATTTTCACCATGATGCAAGATGATTCAAGAGAAACTTCCAACATGAAAGTTGTAGATCTAGATGATATATACAACATTTATTTACACAAATTCTCCTAAATATGCTTGGATTTCAAGTTATAAATTCATGAAGTCATGACATTTTCATTTAACACTTAGAGAAATTTTTAACAGTGTTGGTCAGGTTTTTATCCCAACTTCTTGGCCAATTTTCATCAAGTTCCAGTTTGATTTAAAAAAATTGGTCAACATGAAAGTTGTAGGGGAGGTTCCAATATTTCCAAAAAGTCCAAGAACTCATTGAGATAATTCTTGAGTTAAGAGGATCGAAGAGATGAAGTTAGGGTTTCATTCTTGAATTACAAAGCAGAATTTGTGATGAACACTTGACTAAAATTCCAACCAAAGCTACAAGATCTCTCTTTTCAGGCTATGTTCTCTCCAAATATATGCATAATCAAGCAATTACAAAAACCCTAAGTGTATTACACAAGCATTTGAAGCTTTGTCCAAGTCTTGATACCATTTATGGTTAGAAATGCTAAAGCAACATTCCCATTTGCATAAAGCTTCACTTTTCCAACCACTCTCTTCTTTCAAAGCTTGAAATTTGTTCCAAAGATGACAGAAAAATCTCTCAACATCAGAAGCAATCCACATGACCTTCAAAGCATGGCTAAATTCCTTAATTCACTCCTTTCTTCATCATGAAGCAACTTGTCTTTATGAATTTTAAAAAAAGGCATAACATGTGATTTTCAAAAAGTATGAGTTTCTCAAGTCTCAAACCTTCTCTATAAATAGGAGAAGAATTTACAAGATAAAGAGGTTGGAAAAAATAGAGAGAAGGTCTAGAAAAATAGAAGGAGAAACTAACACTCAAAATCATTTTTGCTGTCAAAAACCAGATTTGTCCACAAAACATCCATTTTGAGCTTTGAAGTCCAAATCTTTGAATCTCATACCTTGCAAGTTTTCTCCAAACAAACCATCCAAACACTTCACATATACCATATAGAAGTTGTTCAAACATAAGAATAACTTCTGTAACATCACTATCATCATCTTCCAAACTCAAAAAAAAAACATACATTGCAACTTGACTTGGTTGGAGTGGTTCAACCATTTTCAATACAAAAGGAAGGTTGGAGTTACTTAAAGAAGGTTCAAAGGAGCTCGATCAATCACCACTTTTCACGCTAATACCTCTGTACGCGTTCTAAATCTTCCGCTTCGAGAGGTAAACTTTCTCAAACTGTGATATCATTATTCATACATAATTTGTTTTCTGCGCTCAAAAGATATAACAAGACAGATCAAAGAGAAAAAACTAACAAAAAGCCAGACCAGAGGTTGATACGGGTGCCCGTGTCAACTTATTTGGGTTGAAAAACATAGTAAAATGCAGGGACAGAGGCTGACATGGGTGCCCGTGTCAATCGACACGGCCCGTGTCAGAGTTACTGATTCAGACACAACCAGAAAAAGATGAACAGGGGCTGACACGGGCGCCCGTGTCAGGATGGATGGGACCAAAAAAATGCATAAAAGTCATGGACAGATCCTGACACGGGTGCTCGTGTCCTCCGACAAGGCCCGTGTCAGCTCGGGCACCAAATTTCTTGATTTTTGGAGATTTTTTAAGTTCTTTTGGATATATTGTATTGCTTGGAAGTGACCTAACTTTATAAAACCTTTTTGTTCAAATGAAACCTCAAAAAAAACATTTTCTAAGCAATTAACTTAGACTTAGGTTTTTTCTTCAATGAAATTAATTACAAAATCTTTTGCTATAAAAAACCCTAAAAAGAAATTTCTCTCACTTTACATCTTCTTGCATATTTTATTTTTGCATTATAGATTATGTAATTGTCAAAGCCTTGTAATAGTAATTAGGGTTTAATTTTCTTGCAATCCCCATTTGTACATTTGTATACCCCATCCCCATAATGATGTAATAGCGTAGTAATTTTACTTTCCGCAATTTATCGCTTTCATATCAATGTTAGTAATTAGGGTTTGTATGGAAAGATAAAACCAATAAATAGAAAACCCTAATCCAAGACAAAATCAAGCATGAAAATAACACACTTGCACACAAGCACCCCTAGGGTTACTCCACTTGGTTGCCTTACATAAAAAATGGCCATATTACACATGCGAAGTATCTTAGTAAAACAAACAAATATAAGATCATAGTCCCTCGACGACGCTATTTAGAGTTGCCTTACAAAAATTATCTTAGTCCCTCAAAAATGCTAAGATGCTTTGCAACATTTCTAATCATGGTTATACGATGACCAACGCCCGTCCCGTCTACATCCAAAGATAGGGTTGCTTACCAAATCAATGGTAAGACAACAATGTCAAAGGAAAAGAAAATGAACAAGAAAGACATTTGAGAAGGTAGATTACTTCTAGTTACTTGTTCCATTTCAAAAAAAATATCCTTGCTATTTTCAAAAACAAACACACACATTTCCAAACATCTTACAAACATTGAAAACATTTTCAAAAAGACAAACATCTTTGTATACATTCTTAAGAACGAGAATCATTACAAAGATTGCCTAAACAATGACCTCTTTTAAAAAATACTTTAAAAACCACATAAATCATAATTTCAAAACAAAAGCAAGTGATCTAGCAAGTAACTAAGAGCCCATGGAAAACCATGGATGAAAAG